TGACGAAAGATATTCTTAATAGGTCATTCTTTTTTTTCACAATAGCATCTAACAAGTTGAATCCGAAAAAGAGATTCACTCGATGGACTCTACTTTTGAACCCAGGAAAAATTTGAATAACTTGATCGCACTTCGATCTAATGCGCTGATTTTTTGCGAGAGTCAAGAACGGTAAATGAACAATCCATTCATACATATATCTACTTAATGACTTTCATTTCAAAACTGAATTTTTTCTTTTCACCTATATGAATAATTACATGAGATAATTTCAATAAAAGAGGTAATGTAAGTAATCCATTATCTTCTTGTGGTAATGCATCAATAATTTCTGCAAGCCAATTCAAAACTAATTTTCTAGATAAAATAAAAATCATAAACTATTTATTTTCTTAAATTTCCTTACTTTGTATCATGACAACTTAAATAACTATTAACAATAAGACGATGAAGAAGTTTAAGTAAATCTTTAAAATTATCTTTGGTTAAACTTGTTAAATTCATCACACTATTTGTATCATTTTATTTAAATAAATCTGAATTATGAATAAAATGTTCATGTCTAAAAATAATCTTATTCAATAAAAAAAAACTTCCTTCCTAAATAAATAACTAATGCTGCACAATGAGAATAAAGTGTTTTCAATGTACCATAATGAACAGCTGGATATTGTCGAGCTAATCGAGAATTTGTTAATTGAAGATGTTTAACAAGTAATTGAAATAATGGTGGTGAAAGTGTATACATCTACAGAAAATAAACTATATTTCCTTATCAAATCTTGTTTAATAACATACTCCAATTAAATTTCCATTCATATTTCCGATTGGACACAATGCACTACAATAAAAAATCAATGCTGTTTCTACATCATCTTCATTTAAATCATTCGTGGTTGAAGATGATTATGTTTAACTACCAAGAACAATTGCTTTCTGTTGAAGTGCTTGGAAAAGTCCATTGAAATTCGATGTTATATCAGCTAAAATAGCTTGATAAACTTATTGAACAATTGGAACACTTTTCATTGTTAAAAAATGATTAAAAAGATGTAAAACATTTTGAATATGATAGAAGAAAATAATCGAAAGAAAAATCATAAAGAAAATTTTCTTTTCTAATCTTACAGAATTCGAATATAAAAATCGCTAAAGCCATATTCGAGAATTGGCTGCAAATATTGAACTTGCTAATATTACACATGAATCATGATCAGCTAAATCAATAACATTTAAAATTAAACGAAATAAATTAGCATCGACTTCATATGGCAAATCNAAATCAATAATATTTAAAATTAAACGAAGTAAATTAGCATCAGCTTCATATGGCCAATCTTGTCTATGAAGAATGGTTTGTTGAATAACAAAATCAAATATATATTTTTCAAGTTGTTCATCAAATTGTGTAAACGTTTCTAATAGAATACAAACAGCTATATTGACATGTTTAGCTAGAATACTATAAAGGATTTATCTTGTTTAATTATTGTTGTTGTATGTTAAATTTTTTGTAACCAATTATCAACATATTCAATTGGAAGTAAAGTTGGTGTTCAAGCAAAAGCATCGGAAAGTGCACGAAGAATAGTAGCAAAAGCTTTGAAATATAATATCTTCGGTTAGCCGAGTAGATGTGCTGCACTAGATATCTAATTATCGGAGTCAATTATTATAGCGGTAATCTGTATAACTCTTGAGTTTAATGGTCAAACACGAAACTAATTTCGCACACTTATACTGATCATTTTTTGAAACTTATCGTAGATGAGTAGTCATATCCTTTCTAAGATTGAGATATTAGAATAAGTATATCGGATAGAAAAGAAGAATTGCATATTGAGAAAGGACGATAGAGAAGATACAAAAGATGATCTTGTTGTCTTTTGAGTTTTTCCCTCGAATGTCAGTCGTAGTTTTAGAATTTGATCACATGAGCTCCTCTAAGTAAGTTGTGTAATTGTTCGGAATAAACTACCGAGCATTGACGTCATTAGGCATGTAAAAATTACTAACGGTTGATGGTATATTGATCCTTGTGGTTAGTCAATTTGTTTGAAAGCTAAGATGAGTCTGAGTCAGGTCAGTCTTTTATTCAGAGTTAGAAACATCGATCCACGTTACACCGTAAGGTAGCTAATGACCGGAATATTCTTTCTCAATTCAATGATTGTCGGTTTGAATCAATCATTAAAGTATTTTTACTTAAATGAAAAAAATTCGACGGAACATTTTACAAATCTGGCGAAATTCTATGAAAATTGTAGTATAACACATATTTATTATAATTGACTAATCTATTGTCTTCATCGCATATCTCAACTTTCCTTTGAAATATTTACCTATATAAAGCAACAATTTTATTGGTAAATAAAACAATATCCTCTTCATAATTTTGTTCTTGATGTTCAAATTGCTATAAGAATTAAAAAACACAATGAAAAATTTTTTCTTTCTATTTATATAAATTTTCATTTTCCTAAGTATAATTATCGGCATTTTCAATAAAATGATCTAATAATGTCAATGTCGTTAGTTGAATTTGTTCAATTCAAAATGGACGAAATTTATTTAATGCTTGAGCAGTATATTCCAGAATTTTATCAGTAGGTAATGATTCAATATACCAACCAATCAGAATATCCGCAATATTCTATGAAACAAAAAACAAAAACATCAATTAATTTTCTTTTTTTTAAATTTCATACAAGAAAAATTTCTTGAAATATTTCTGAATAAATTCTCGAAAAGATCAATAATTGTATTGGTAATAACAACCATTAATGGTGCATGATTAATTGATTCAAGAATTTTTTTTAATTGTTCACTTATATATTGAATATGTGAGGTTAAACATAAGATTTCATATTCATTTTAAATACTATGACGAAATGCATCGATAAGTAATTCTTTTTGAAAATCATTTTTTTTGTTTTTGTTCGTACGTCATTTAAACGTTCAAAAATCCATTAAGCAAATCTTGAATAAATGAGAAATAGAAAAAAAAACGGTATAATTCAAATAATTTTCATTGTCTACTTTAGTTTGCCTTCGTTCAGCATGACATAAACGATTAATCTAATACAACGAGCGAGTTCAGATCGAATAGTTTCATTAGATCTTTAGAAAAGTAAAAGATATTATTTAATTAACAAACTATTCTTGAAATTGTTCGAAAAGAAGATTCAGAGCAGCTTGAGTTAATTTCATAATAAACTGAAATAATATTCAAATAAAAGATTATTAGAAATAAGAAACAATATTTGAAATAACTTTGTTACTATCAGATTTTTCAAGATAAGTTTCAAACTCTTGAATACATTGAATACGTATATCAAATGAATGTTCATCACGAAGAACTTTTTTTTTTAGTAAACGTGAACATTTTTTGGAATCATCATCAAAGATTTATTTGTAAATCTTTAGATATTCCTTCGATATTCTCATCATCACCAGGATTAACTAATTGTAATCGAAAGTTTCCACTATGTGATTGACACACAGAATCATAATAACGATCGTTACGAGATGGATAACGATGACATAATGTACTTAAAATATCTAAACAGAAAATATTTAGTTTAGTCTACTAGATCGAGGAAATAATTGAATTTTTAAAAATATTTTTTTATTTCATATTTGGTGTCTAATATTGGTCAGAACCAATCGAATATGATCAACTGATCTTCTTTCTAGTAATGCGTTTTTTGTTTTGATAGATGGCGTATTGTGTCGGTTTAAGCGATAGTAGTAATGATGTTAACATAAATTTCTTTTTATATCCAGAAACTTTCTGAATAGTGCTTGGAGATTTTTACTAGATATCTCAAAATCCGAATCCATGTGTAGTTTTATTTTTTATGAAAAATTGAAAAATCAATTAGCGAAAAAGGATATTATCACTTCAAAATGATTTACTTTCAGCGATAATCTGTTACGATAATATGACTAAACGTATTTACATATTTCATATTTTTATTTCTGATGTGAGTTGACGAAGCGAAACTTACTTGTTATGATCATTCATAAGTGGATGTTTTGAGGGTAACTATAGAGCGCTCGGATCAAAGCTGAGCTCTTGCAATTGTGGATGATGCTCAAATGTATATGACAGAAAGCTTAGAAAACAATGTTGAAGTGCAATTGATTGTAATTTCAAAATACTTGTTTCAATTAGTATGAAACCTTTATTAAGTGGTAGATCAATTGGAATATCTAGAACGTCGTATATGTACCGATAGAAGTCAAGATCGCATGTTCATAATAGAGAAAATAATTAAAAGATTCGTTTATAATATGCACCTTCAGACACACCTTTAAATGTATAAGCAGCACGATAGTAGACTGAGTAGATAGAGGGCATCACAGAGTCGCTTTTTTAAATTAAACTTAATTTTGTTATATGTCTATATATATGTATATATATAGACATAGACACCCATTTTGGCGCGTTTTTTGAGTCATTGAACTTGTGATCCCCTATCTCCGCTAACAAAGTAAGAATTTAAAAACAAAAAGGACTCGGTGGTGTCCTGCATCCTGAGATGCTCTTTCAAACAAAACAAAAAAATGTAAATATATTGACAGAGCCTGAACCGAGAAATCTTGGAAGCAAAATGCGCTATTTTTTGATCTATGTTTGGTTCATATCTCTGTCAAAAATCATGGTATAGAGCTGAAAATTTTACCACAGCATCCTCACTACAGCCCCAACATATCCTGAAAACTTCAGGCTGTTTCACTTGACTTGATGTTAAATTCGTTTTTTGAAGAGGCCTTAATGAATATTGATCATGATAAACAATTAGCTTGACAAAAACTTTTATCAGACAGTCGAATAGAATCAACTTCAAGTATTCTATCGAAAAATGATGATGATGATGATTTTTGTAAAAGAAAATGAGATGATGAGTAAATAAATCAATTAGATATTAATTACTAGAAATATGAGAAGAAAAATTGATTAGCCCTATAACCTACGTGTAAAAAGTCTTGGTACAAAAATTTTCCTTCGTTTTCGACCACCTATAGTTTACAAAGGAGAGTAGAAAGTAGTCCACTATGAAGAGAATTCCATGCTCTTTCTAAATATATATTCAGAATTTTATCATGATTTGAACTTGATTCATCAAGAACAAATATTTGATGGAGATCAAAAATGACGTTTGTACAGATAATTCTGTACAGATCATTTTGTACTTTGATTGAAAATGCGTAAGTTTAATTTAGGAGAAAGTCATTATTTACATAAGTTTTTAGAGCAAAGTTTGCCATACAAAATGCTCTAGTTTTCTTACTTCTTACATATGACCTCAAACCATCAGAATTTGTTGAATTGTAGATACCAAAATTCTCAAAATTCGATTATTTTGAAAGTCATCGCATGTATAGAGTAGCATTTCGAAAAATGTTTGTAACTTTTGATTATTTTGAAGAATAGGATATTGCAACCCAAAAAGTATCTCGTATTACCTTTTAGAGAAATTGAGAATTAAAAGAAAAGGGCGCGCTTTGTTTGTTTGTTGCAAATAGCACTTTTATCTTTTCAAGCCTTTACTTACAGCTGACTAGACGAGAGTCATAGGAAATTTTCTGGAACATATTTAGAAAGAGCATCAAATGCTGATTCTAACAACCTACTTTCAATTCTGTTCGATTGCTTTTTTATGACCAAAAGCTCAGCAAACATATTTATACATATGTCAGAAAATACTGTTTTGTACAAACGTCGTTTTTGATCTCCATCAAATATTTGCTCTCAATGAATCAAGTTCAAATCATGATACAATTCTGAATATATATATAGAAAGAGTGTGAAATTCTCTTCCCATAGACTACTTTTTACTATTCTTTGCAAACTATAAGCGGTCGAAAATCGAAGAAAACTTTCGTACCAACACTTTTTACACGTAGGTTATTCTTATTTGATCGTAAATGATCAGCTCTATATAACACTTTCTGGAGCATCATTAATCCGATCAGCTTCACTCTGAGGGAAAGCACCTAAAAAAAACAGAACTGAGTAGTCCAATTACATTCCTTCTCCCTCTAACGCATTAGCATCCGTACGTTGAGTTTTGTTCACGTTCTTTCATGTCGGTCATAGCATATAAAACCCTTCCTTATATTTAATACGTTTTCATTTACAAACAAATCCAGCATCCAAACTTCAATTTTTAATTTTCTACACGCTGACCAAAGTGACTACACTTTTCATTTATTCTTCTAAATTTATCACCTTCAAAATGTTAAATAAACATTACATTTTTCCATATTCCTCGCGTCTAAAGTTTCAACTTCTATAATAATGTTCCTATGCCGACAACACATAAAGTAGTACTTGGAAGAACGTTCCACATACCACTAGCACGCCTAGGCACGACTTCTAGGTAACCTTTCGGTACTCAAAAGTCAGTCCCATGTACCACTAGCGTACATGGAAGCCGACTCTAGACAACCTTGGAACACTAAGGAGTGAGTTTTAGGCATCCATAAGCTATTTAGAAGTGAACACAATGGACCCGTGGGGTGCTCAGGAGTGACGTCTACATACACCATGGGTACCTCCAAGTGGATTCTAGGAACCTTCAGGGTACTTAGAAGTGACTCTTATGTGATACTTGGGTACTTAAAACTGAGTTCAATGTACCTCTGGAGTACTTAGGAGGGAGTGCTAGGTATACTTTGGGTATCTACAAGTGAGTTCTATATACCCTGGGACATTCAGACGTGCATTTCAACTACTCCTAGAATACTTAAAAGTCAGTCCAATCTATTTTTGGGGTACTTAGCAGTGAGTCCTAGGTACCTCCGGGGTACTTAGGAGTAAGTTCTAGGTACTTCCAGGGTACTTACGTGTGAGTTCAAGGTATTTCCGCGGTACTTAGGAGTGAGTTCTAGGTACTTCCAGGGTACTTACGTGTGAGTTCAAGGTATTTCCGCGGTACTTAGGAGTGAGTTCTAGGTACCCCCAGGGTACTTAGGAGTGAGTTCTATGCACCTCTAGTGTACGTAGGAGTGAGTTCTAGGTATCCCCAGGGTACTTAGGAGTGAGTTCTAGGTACCCCACGGTACTTACGAGTGAGTTCTAAGTACCTTCAGAGTACGTAGGAGTGAGTTCTAGGTACCCCACGGTACTTACGAGTGAGTTCTAGGTACCTTCAGAGTACGTAGGAGTTAGTTCTAGGTACCTCCAGAGTACTTAGGAGTGAGTTCTAGGTACCCCTGAGGGTATTTACGAGTGAGTTCTCGGAACCTCTAGGGTACGTTGGAGTGAGTTCTAGGTACCCCCAAGATACTTACGAGTGGGTTCTAGGGATCCACGCGGTACTTAGGAGTGAATTCTAGGTACCCCCATGGTACTTACGAGTGAGTTCTAGGTACCCCTAGGGTACTTGAAATTGAGTTGAATGCAGCTCTAGGCTACTTAGGAGTGAGTCCTAGGTATACCTTAGGTATTGAAAAGCGGATTCTAGGTACCCGTGGGGTACTTGAAACTGAGTCCAGTGTAGCGCCGGGTACTTAGGAGTGAGTCCTATGTACTCCTGAGCTGCTTAGAAGTAGTCGTAGGTACCCATGGGTGCTTAAAACTGAGTCTAATCTACCTTTGTGGTACTTAGAAGTCAGTCTTATGTGTGCCGGAAACAGTTTGGAGTGAGTCTAAAGTACCGCAGATGTACCTATGGCTGAGTCCTTAGTATCGCTGGGTTGAAGGATGTGGGTCCTGGTGAATTTGTGTTTTTAAATAGATTCGCATGGTTATTTAACGTTGCATTGAAGTGTAATTGATGAAGGTGGGTGAAGATTCGCAATTATGTATGTTTCTGAGTGTATCTGGGGAATTATTAGTATACGATTAGATTTCATGATATCAGATCATGTTGTAGGATCATACAAGAATCGTACCATAGGGATTGATATCAGATCGCCGGAACTACGACTTTTTGTACGATTTTTCGTATGATCCTACTTGAACATATATGGTTCTGACATCTGATCGGATATGGTCATATATGAATCCATAGCTGGTCTTACTATCTGTTTGCTCGACCTGGGCAGGTACCAAATGGGTAACGTATGAACAGATACCCAAGGGGTAACACACAGACAGATACCCCAAGTGGGTAACGCAGAGAAAGATACCCAAGTGAGTAACATATAAACAGATACCCAAGTGGATGACATATAAACAGATACCCATGTGAGTAGCGTATGAACAGATACCCAAGTGGATAATTCGGCTGCTATATATTTCGATCATTTTAATAATCTTCATATCGGAATAATTATAGATATAATACAATTAAAAACAACCAAAGATATCATATTTATCATTGATCAAGCAGAAATTGTAGGTTTTGATACATTTTCTCTTGATCGAATTGAATATGTTAATGACTTTCTTGTTTATGCTAAACATTCAAAACCACTTGTGATTGTTTCAATCAATTACAAATCCATTGAAGAAAAAGTTGCTTACGGGAAAGATCCAAAAGTAAAAACATCTACTGATTTTTATATATTTCCCAATTTCGTAGAGGACAGCTGATTTTGTTTTTCAAAAACATCTTTATATACTATTTCTAATAATAAAACGTTTGCATTCTCTACTTTACTTTTTTTGTCATTACTACGCAATCATATATTCCTCGTCAAACTTTATCTTTATCCTATATAGCCTACCTTCTTTCCCCACACTATTAAAAACAAACCGTCTTACACTACTGCTCATCAACCACTCACATAGCAAAAATAATTTCTGATACTGCCAAAAAGATTGAACTTTCCGGCGATCAATAAATTTTCACTATTTCTTTAAGATATAAAACATAATTAAACTTTCCTCAGAAGGCATAAACACGTTCATAATTCACCCGATTAATACGAGTTAAAATTGTTCTAATTACACCGAAAAACGAAATGTTTTTTACCTGAACAAAACGTGTTTATAATTGAAGGGGTTAATAGGAATTCAATTTCTTTGAATTACATCGAAAAACGAAATATTTTCTAACTTAACAAAACGTGTTCATGATTAAATGGGTTAATACGAGTTCAATTTCTTTGAATTACATAGAAAAACGAAATGTTTTCTAACTCAATAAGACGTGCTCATAATTGAAGGGGTTAATACGAGTTCAATTTCTTTGAATTACATTGAAAAACGAAATGTTTTCTAACTCAATAAGACGTGCTCATAATTGAACGGGTTAATACGAGTTAAAGGACGGGGGACCATTTGTACACAAAACGGCCCTAAATAAAAATAACCACAAAACACATCTTGGTTTCGAATTTCACGGTTCCCGTTGCAAGACAAAACTACTGCCAATACATCCAGACCATTTTTACAGGATTTAGAAGTGCATGGAAAAAGCCTGCCTGAACGTCTTGCGACACTAGATTTCTGCTTGAACGAGTACAGTGTTATTCATCTGATGACAACCATAATCGACTACAAGAGCGTCATTTTTTCTGTACAGATAGAGATTTTTAAGGCCTACAAAATGATAATAAAACATGAAGTGAAATACGCTGTGCTAGAAAATTTTCAAGGAGCTGACTGTCAAAAGTTTATGAGAAAACCAGTGATTGGCATAATGTGGTTCATGGGATCTCGATTACCCATCATAGNCACCTTATGATTCTGATGAGCAGTCAATAAAATTCAAAGAAGTATTTAAAGTGCTATAAAAGTTGTATGGAATTTCAATTATAATTAGTGCATTAGATTCGCCTGCTCAAGATCTATAATTTTACACAAATCCGAAATTTTTATTAATAAAAATTTCGGATTTGTGTAAAATTATAGATCTTGAGCAGGCGAATCTAATGCACTAATTATAATTGAAATTCCATACAACTTTTATAGCACTTTAAATACTTCTTTGAATTTTATTGACTGCTCATCAGAATCATAAGGTGGCTTTTTTAACCATCTATAGAAAGATGCAGAATGCTCATCTCTATCGAATGATGAAAACCACAGACCGATAGCTATTTCCGTTAAAAAGTTATTCAAAAAACAATCACCCTTCTTCTATTTTGAAATGGATAATAATTATTTTTATTTCTTCAAGTTCTGTGTTTTATCAAAACATGATTTTATTTTGCCTAGACGCAATTGAAATGGAAATTTCGACCATAACATATACATATATACAGGTGTGTATATATATTAAATAAAAAGGAAGAGAAAAAAAATGTAAGATACAAAAACTTTACATTTTTTCAGGATAAAAAATTTCACAGTTAATCAGGGTTTATAATTAATAATTGTTGTTTAATATGATTTTATTGGAAAAATACTCTGAATGTTTTCATTATTCATTTTATCACTTTATCCTAATTTATTCAGAGAAAAAAAGTTTACAACAAAGAAAAATAAACATAGAAATCTTTTGAATGTACTATTGTTTCTATCATAAGATATAATTCATTGACATTGATACAATTGAGCCGTGTTCTTTCTTTTGTAAAATTTTCTGTCACAAGTTGTAATTGATCATAATTAATTGTTAAGTTTGTTAGACGAGGTAAATGTGTTTTTGTATCGTTAAGAAATTGTTCAACATAATCATTATGAACATTTTCAAAGCAAAGTGAAATAAGATAAGGATAATTAACAATTGAATATAATTGATTATCATTAGAATTTAATTGGTCTGATAATGATGATTGTGGTCTAACATTCTTAATAGTTAATTGTTGAAGTAATGGAAAAGACCAAGCAATTCGAATGAAAAATTCATGTTCGAATGGAACATCATCTTGCACTAGTAAAATTCGAACATCATTGAAAATGTATTACCAATATAATTGAAATAATTAAACATAAATGGTAATGAGAAAACATGACATTGAGTAATACGATACAAGTAATTGACAATACATTCCACTTGTTGAAATATAATATTAGTAAAAGTTCGTTGAATATCATCTTCAGATAAATGATGAATTGAATTATGTATCATGTTCTCAGTACAAATCCAAAAGTTAAACATATAAAGTCGTGGCATATAAACAAGAATTTCATTATAAAGAGAAGTACCATCGATAAATGTTCGTTCTTCAACAAAAATAGACAAAGTTAATTCTTCAAGACTTAACATACGACGAAAAAGAGGTAAAATCATATCATCATATGTATCACTTGAGCAATAAGATAATGCTGTTAACGAGAAACATTTCAAATAGGGTAAATCATCCTAGACAATACGAAATAATACTAATAAATAAACTATTATCAATCAAAAGATAAAAAATAACATACTCAAATGAATGACTGATTGAAAAGTTCTATCTCTATAAATATTTCTTCTATTTTAAAATATATACATATTCTTCTGCAATGATTGTCAACCTTATTATTATAGTTATCTATGAGAAAAATATTATTTCTATAGAAAACAAATCATATGTGAAAACAAAAATGATTATTGCCATAACATTAAATTATCACTGATTGATGAGCACAAATGGTATTTATATTAAAATTTTCATCGAACGACTTATCTTTTCACAATAAATGAAAGCTATCTTCATTTACCTTTTCTATATTTAACAATCTTTCTATTCTCATTTATTATTTCGAAGTCTTATACTTTGTTTATTGCTTTTAATCCAGACTTTCATCTCATGCCAATTTTATGAAATCTATCTTTAAATTATTTTATGATAATTATTTTCAATCTTATTTTTGAAATATATAACTTTTGATTAGAAAAGTGATAGGATCAATAAATGTAAAACATATTAAAATTAAACAATTTGTCACACTAGATGAACATTCAATTTACAACTGTTTTATTATAGTTAATTAAAATAAAAAGTAATTCATTAGAAACAGTGAAACATCGNAATTTTTAATGATAATAAAATTTTATTTCGTTTTAATAAATTATCCCAATTTGTATATAATGATTCAACAAATAAATGACTTGCAACAGATGTACGATGTGCAAGACCAAATAAATTATGTACATATGTACATGTATCACTTTGTTCAAATATAAAATAATAATAATAATTGATAATATGTTGTTATTGATATTAAATGTTCAAAATATAACTCATGATGACATATTAAATCACAATATGATTGTAATTGAACATTTATAGATAAACGTGTTATTAATGATGATGGTGCTAATATCGGTGACCACCATGCTTCTTATGTATAATGAAGCATATTAAGAATATGTATCAATTGTAATAATAATGGTATATAAAAAAATGATAATAATAAATTAAAATATTCACTTAAAATAGTTAAATATGAAAATGTATCAAGACGATCTACAGTTTCATCAAGAATTCATAATTAACGAAAATCATTTACAATTGTTCGAAATTGTTTAGCTAAAATAAAATCATAGGAATTTTAAAGTCAAATGTTTTTCGTTAGCTCATTACTAATTAATGAATTTCAGGAAAGTTTTATCTTCAAATTAATGGATGATATGTTACTATCATATCGATTATGATGGAAGCTTGAGATCTTTTGACTTTGATAGAAACCAGTTTTTATCTGTTCAGTTAGTTTCTTTTTCCTAAAATTTCAAACCAAAATTTTTAAATCAATCATTCCAGTTTTCGTTACAAAGATGACGACTTCAACTAAAGGTGATGTTCCTATTGCTGGACTATCATATTCATGCCTACAAATACACTATTATTTCGATTCATTACCATTTTCCAAAATATGCAAAAGTACATAAAGATAGTTGGACGCAAGAGAAACTAATGTCATATCGATTTGACCACGCAATTGTCAAGTATTAGTTAAAATTCGTAATATTTCGTCATGTCCAATTCGAAGAAGAGCTCTAAACACAAAAACGAGAATAGTAGTTTTTAAATTATAAATAAAATCATTTCGAATACTTACGCCCTAAAAGTTTCATCTCGTGTTCCATTAACTGATGATAAAACATCATTTCATCGTGTAAATATAACATTTTCATTTGAATTTTGTACAAGACATCGAAGTATTATATTTGTATTGATTAACCATCTATTAGTAGATTGACAAGGCATTCTAAAAAAAAGTTTTAAACTTCAGGAAAATTTCATAAATAAAAATAACGAACATTTCTATTTACTAATGCTCGAAAAGCAACAACAAATAGATCAATTGGTCGTAATGCAACTGATGATACAACATCAAATAGTGTTAATTGTGTGGAATAAATATCCAAAAGTGATTGATTCTATTTGAAAAGAAAAAGTAACGTATAATCGAAGATTATTAAAAAAGGAAAATAACCTTAGATGAACCAATAGTAACATGTGGTTATAAATGAACAAGTAACACATCGGCAACTTGTCGTGAAAGACGTGTTCATATATCACTTTCATGTCAAACACTATCAACAATAGTTGTTAACAATCGTAAAGCCTATACCATATAATTTCTATTATTATTTTTTCAGTACATACACATGACATGAAAAGATACTTTTATTTGTACTAATTGAGACGCCTAGTTTTGCTTCACACTTTTTATTGCCGTATCTTATATCAAGTACATAACTGGGAGTGGGTATGGGTTCAATCAAGGAGAAAAATTACACCTACACACTCATACTCACACCTCTCGAGTTTCTATGATATTTGAGACCTTATAGAGTGACACCTTTTGTTCACTCTCATTTAATAGAACATTTTTTAGAAATTTTAATTATTCACATAGTGACTATTTCTTATATAGAACAAGTTTAAATGATGTTTGAACAAAAACCATTCGCTCTGCTTCTAATTTTTTTATTATGTATTAACTCGAACAAAAAAATTCTATTTGGAAACTGGAAGTGGTTCTCGTTTTTTTTCATCAACTTAACAGATAAATTTTTGAAAGCTGGTGTGGCTATTGCAATACAATATTATGTTTCTAAGACTTTCGTTTCTTATCATACTCATTATATGTAACTTATGCAAGCAAATGCTATGCTTTCCATGGTTTGTTTTCATTGTATGCTGTTTTTTCCTATGATATTCACGCACGTATGCAAGAAAGAAAATGAGACATATTTTCAAAGATTTATCTCTTAAGCTGATGAAAAAAAACGAGAACCACTTTCAGGTTTCAACACATATAGTGTCTTGATTATCTTTTTCGACTGAACTTTTTAATGATCAAGATTAACACTTCTAATAGACATAGTAAGAATTTAGACCGATATGACTTTTCTCGTTTGAAAAAAAAAACTAAGATTTATCAGCAAAATTAGCTAATGTGCTTCTCACTTCAAAAATGCATAATTTATGCAAGAAGCAACTTGGGTACGAGCCAACTTGGAGTATATCACTCTGAACTATATCCTATCTAACCAACACATCCCAGACTGAAAAGCTTTTTGACACATTGAGAGGTTCACTCGTTAGTTCACAAGGATATTTTATATTGTTTAGACTTTATTACTGATATCTTTATTGGTGATTCTGGTTCAACACGTTCTCTATTAATTTCAATAGGAAAAAATGTTCTGAAAGCTGAATTACATATTTGTTCAGCCACTAAATTTGATGGCGTTCTTCTTTGGGATACACCAGCTAAATTATGTACAAATGTTGAAACACCAGCATTGGAAGCTGGTACAAGTCCATTCGCTATATTCAAACATGAATCAACGAAAGAAGCATTTAATAAATCCGATGTTGCTGTTTTTGTTATAGATGGAGCAATGGATAATAGTAGTGTCACACATGTAAAATGAGACAAGAAAACTGAATACAGTGAAACCTCTCTATAGTGGACACCCTTCGGACTTTTCAAAAGTGTCCACTATATGGAGGTGTCCACCATATAGAGGTTAAACTTTCCTCAAGAGCCAAGGTTTTCGAAGAAACGCACAGGCTTTTCAGACATCTGAGCCCAGTCAGACAAGCATC